AGTCTAGTAAGTTTCCTGTGCCTGTTATACTATCCGGCTTCACAACCATTTCACGATTAGCGCACCTTCAATACCTTGACGCAAAGGATCTCGAAGGCTATTTGAAGGCTCTTCTCGAATGCCACACTCTCCTTGCGCAGGACGGCAATTATATCAAAGTATTCCACCAACAACACTTTGCGGCTGCTAGTGCAAAGTATGTTTGCCTTGTAATCATGTCTTCGTTTTTTGCTTATTTTCTCTCGACTCAGATACAGGCGCCGAGTGATCTGTTACTTGTTGTCGCACGCGGTCACTCATCCAGTGCCCGAAGCTCGCATATCCATCATGTCCTCTGTCGAGGACGTATCAGACACTGCAAGGTCGCATATGGTATTGTCTGCCATGGAGACATTGGCCAAAGACCCAGCTCCTATCTCAAAGTTATTCGGCGTCAACTTCCACCGGTACACCGCTCTCGTAGCATCCACGTTCCTCAGCGTCCCTGTTGGAGATCTGAACACAGGCACGGAAAATTCGGTTTGGCTTATTTTCTCTTTGGCGTTGCAAGCGTACTTCAAGCCAAGTAAGTTTTTTTTTTCTCTTTTTTACATGAGTGGCGGCTTGATGATTTGTAGATGCAATCGCTACAGTCAGGAAACTATTTTCGGACGCGTTAGAAGAGAGGCTTTTTGCGCATCTCGACACGACACGGCAGGCTCAAATATGCGACATCCTTTTGTCGGCAGGATCGCTGGGCAATGAAGTGGTATGATAACGTGTCAGCTGTAACCAGAATTAGGACTGACTTCGATAATAGTACGTGTGCGCGAAGGAGCTTCTGAGCAACCTTCTGCAGGACGTCCATCTGATCAATCATCTGCTCGTGGTTTATCAACCTGCTGGAGCTCAGCCGGATACTCCTGCCAGTAAACGTGCTAAACTCGATAAGTATGCATCCTTGTACTATCATTGTGTCCTGTCCTCATTTCTTCCAATACAGCCCGTCTCACGGAGATGTCGAGGAAAAAATGTCGATATTCACTTTCCTTGCTGAAGTTCTCGGAACGAAGGAACTTCCTGGATCACTTGACCTTCTAACGCAGCTTCTTGATACTCTGGGCAAGATTATACATAACGACTCGCCGATTCCGTCCGATACGAGCTATCCTTGCCAAATGCTAATGGCTGCTGTGGAACAAGCAGCGAGCAAAATCACGGTATTTGATTTTATTGCTCGTCCAATGGCAACTTTCTGACTATGATGAGAAGGAGCCTCCTGCTAGACCAATCCGATTAGACATACTTGTCGAAATCATCAGAGGTTTGATTTAGTTTCCTATTTTTTGTGCCGACTGAAACATTGTTTCACAGTATCGGAAAACCCGCAGACGTTCCATCAAGCACTCCTCCTCATGGCCAGTCTAGCTCGACTCACGCCTGATTCGGTGCTTCATAACATCATGCCTATTTTCACATTCATGGGCACCAATGTCTTCCATCGCGATGACTCGTATAGTTTCAAGGTGGTGCAAAACGTAAGCATCTTTGTGGCTCGTGGGGTGTAGCGTTTGATTTATGTTCACTTACAGACTATCGAAAACATTGTTCCTGTCATGGTATCATCGCTCAAATCTCGACACCCTCCTGGACTTGAACTTTACATCGGAGCTAGGGAGTTCTTGCGGATCTTCACGGATGCATCCAACCATATACCACGCCATCGTCGACAAAAGTATGTCTATCAAGGATTTGACGCTCGTGACTTCGTGCTGATGCACGAGCTAGCTTTTTCATACACCTTGCCGATGTGCTTGGGCCTCAAGAATTCTTGGCCCCGGTTTGCATGTCGCTAGTAGACAGGGTGGCTAATCGGGTGAGCCGGCAACATGAGGACGAGGCTTCAACCTCGTTAGGACTTCCGATATCCCTGCTACGCCATTTCCCCCGAGAGTTGCATCTTCATGTAAGTTTTCTGCGGTAATTCTGGATGCGACTGACGTCTTGCAGGTTCTCAAAGAAGTATTGCGGGAGGCGCAAAGACTTATTCGCAATATCGCATGTTCCGACGAGGCGGGTGCAACCTTTTTGGATTACGTTCAGTACGAGGACAAATTACTTTTTATCTCACTTTCGTACTCATACATCCATTGCAGCGATGATGAGCATTCTGCGAGATCGTCCTCTATTATCATCAAACGACGTGCTCAAGCGCTGATCATGTTCGTCGGTCATGCCATCATACCCACGTCTTCCGCCGATATATCAAAGGGCGACAATGCAACGACGGAACTTGTCTCTCTTTTGGTCGATCTCGCCACAATAGAAGGCGATAGCAACATTTCAGACATCCTGTCAGTCACACAGCAGACCACGTCAAAAGTGATGAATGCCATCGGAGCAGCAGACTTCCTGAACGGAGCTTTAGTCATGTTGCAATCAGACGAGACTAGGGTAGGATTATATTTTCTGTACGAGACCCTTTCTCACATCGCTTCTAGATCAAGGCTGGTGCTCTTGAAATCCTCGCAGAGAGGATACCTAGAGTTACAGATGCAGTCCGTCGCGAACAACAGAAGACGGTCATATCAATCATCGACTTTATTCGGGACGTCGTTTCTCGCCAGTCAGCCGGTGCGCTAGTTAATTCGGCACTCGATGCTTTGAAAGCGATCGGCTCCTCCATTTGTCCTGGCGAGGAGACAGCATTGGTATCTACTGTCCCTTCTGTCATCAAAATCATCAAAGCACGTGCATCATTGCAATCTGCTATAGCTGTGTTGCCGTGTTATGTGTATGGGGCTTTTCTTCCCTCTCGTTCCACGTTACTGAAGAATTTGTAGATCCTCTCTTGGACCTCGGCTTATACCTCACTTCCGAGAGATTGCACAACAGTGTACATCAGTCCTTCAAGAAGGATTGAGTGGCAAAACGGGTGAGCGACTTGTCTCCCATGTAAACCTGCGTAACAGCTTTTGACTGTTCTGCTCGAATAGCGCAAACCCCAGTGGATGGTGCAATTGCTACCCTACAGGGCTTAGTGTCGACGCTTCCCGCTTTCTGTGGTGCTGCAGAACTTAGAGACATCGTCAAACTCCATCTGGAATACTCGGTCACCTTAAGTGGTCTCATGACAGGTTTGATGAAAGCTATTGCGAAGAAGATCCCAAGCAACATGCTACTGCCGGTACTCTGCGATCTGTGGCCCAATTTGGAAAAATCTCAGAAAAAGGCACGCACCTCGCGATATGAACATGATTTTGAATATTGATATCCTGTAGCAGGAACATGTTGATGGACTCATCGCGTTTTTCGTCTTTTTCAAACGCAGTCTTCGGGTAGCTCGACGTCCTGACATCCAGGAGCATATTCGGTCAATATTCTCAGTATTTCTCGACGGCTTTGGCGTGAACATGCAGTCTACGACTGATGTGAGTCACTTCGTTGGCATTTGTGGTGAGACTAACTGGTACCAGGGAGAACCCCACATCATTTCGGCGTTCTTGGAACTTGTTGTAAAACTTAACGAGACGGCCTTCAGACCGTTGTTCCGTCGTTTGTATGACTGGGCATTTGCAGCTGATGATCGTCGCACAGCAAACATTGAGCGCAAGATCACGTTTTGTCACATGTATTCTGCCCTATTGGACTATTTCAAGGTGCGCTCGTAACACATCTTTCAAGTATGACGTTATTAATCTAGTGTAGGGCTTGATGAACCCCTACATGTCAATGCTTCTTCAAGCTTTGTGCGACATATTGGAGTCTTTGGCCGCAGGGTCAATTCAAAATCCGTCTCTATGGTTGTCAACAGTCGAGACTCTCACAAAGAGTTTCGAAAATGACGACGGTGGTGAGTGAGAACGCGCGACTTACAGTGCCACTCACTGATGATTTTGGTAGTGTTCTGGCGCGACGACAAACTGGCCTCGGTAGCAAAGCCTATCATAGCTCAAGTTTCGAGTTGCATCCGATTGAATATCGGGAAACAAGCGCTGACTAATTGCTTGATTGCTATGACGAGCGTGGCCGTAGATGACTCCTTACTCAAGTCAATCAACATCGACCTGCTCATGCATACTCGCGCAGAGGATGCTCGTGAGCGCATATTTGCTCTGTCCTGCTCGGAAGCCCTCTGGCGCGAACATGGTGGGAAGCTCATTGGTTCGTTCTCGTGTTGTCCATGCCATCGAGAATAATGCTAACATCATGATAGGCTTCGTAGCAGAAACCACTACGTTCATTAGTGAATGTGCTGAAGACGAGAACGACAGCGTCGTTCGTGAGACACACAAACTTAAGAATGCAGTTGAAGGCGTGGCCGGGAGTATTAGTGGATTATGATCGTGCATTCCTGTCATTCTAGACCTATGGGGGTGTTAGTCGAGGTTCTATGGTGCAGAAAGCTTGAAAATTGAAGGATTCTTGGTATGACCGGAAGGCGCGAGCTGGCCCCTAATACCTAAGTACTCATTTGAACAAAAGACGATGATGGAGGCTTAACACGAGTCGAGCACATAGGGACTTTGCTGAACATTCTAGTCGACAAAAAAAACGATATCATACGAAAACAAGATAGCTAGAGGATATATTAGGGTTATTGTACAACAGAATGAAATGAGGATAGCAGATCAACATGTGAATATAAACCAGACCACAGTAGAACTACACACCAATATGAACAAATATCATCCTCTGCTCGAGCGGCACTTTCGTCTTCACCGCGTGCGTAGCACAGTTGAGTGCCCAGGCTGCCCTCGTACAGTCCATGACGCCACCATTCTTCAAATCTCCAAACATATACTTGTAGAAAGCTTCGACAACATGTTTCGCGACAGCATGGTCGACCTCCCACAGCGTGCCAACGACGCTCTTGAACCCTGAAAACTGGAGCCCAGCTGCGAGGTGGATCACTTCATGAGGCGTCTTTTCATCGCCTACAGCAGTGTGACAAGCCTATAAGAACGCGAACTCAGCCTGCGGAAGATGTCTCTCCATGATATCGAGCAGCGTCAGATGTTCGTCTCTCATGACGAAATGCGAATCGTAAGGCTGCGTAGGATCCTGCGCTTCTTCATCAACTGTCTAAATCTGATCAGAGCCGAAAGTGTCGGCGTGTAAGAGTAAATGTAGAGATCCTCCAGGCACAGCTCCTTCTCAGAACGATCTGCTTTTGTTTGAAACGGATGAGCTGGATGGAGAGGGATGGACGTGAAAGCTGCAGTGGGACACAACCAGATTCGAAAGCGGTGCTTTAGTTTGAGAACGTGCTCGAGTACGTCAACGATGGGTAGCATGATCTGGTCCCATATGATCCGCAAGAGTGCTATGAGATCCGTCCTCGACTCCCATGGGTTCATCCGAGATAAATCATGTATTGCCCTGGTGAAGCAATCCTTGAGAATCTTCAGATCTGCGAGAGCGATGGACGGCAAAGGAACATGATGGGGGTCTCCTGACGTCGGGACGACGATGGCGCTACACGAGTACTGACTCGCAATGGGGATGATGACCGGGCCCTGGCACGCTGCCGCTTGGAAGTCATTATACGACGGTGGGAGCAGGAAGCGCGAAAACGCCGGAAGATCGCGTATCTCAGCTACCGCGTCTTCCCGTTGCCTTGTAAGTCTCCGGGAATCAGAGACGTGGCTTCACGACGAAGCTGTATGTTCGTATCAAGATCATCGATGCTGCCGTGTGATCAAAGCAGTACTCGAAATGCTTGCGCAAGCTCGTCCAGGGCTCTGTGACGGAGTCGATGGCCCAGAGGACAGAGCTCGAGGACGATTCGTCGAAGGTGGATGCCTTCATCGGATTAAAAAGGTTGTTGAATCCGATGATTACATAATTCGACACCATTCCCTACTGCGATGCTACGAAGTTAGGTGCCCTCTGGACAGAGAGGCAGTAGTTCATGATAGAGTTGGGCGGCTTCGCTGATGTCGGCAGTAGTGCTTTTCTTGCAGTGGCGCCAATTCAGCGCTTGAGTAGTGATAAGGGATGATCGGGATGGCGCTGCGGACGCGATGCAAGGATGTCGCGGAAGAGCGAAGTGGTGGCATCGATGTCTTGAACATCGTTTCGGGTGTAGCCTTCAAGGCGGGCGCACACGTTCAGGTGAGACGTTCTCGCTTGTCACGTATGCGGTCAATTGTGCGTGGCCCGCACCTGTCTCTCGAACAATTTCGCAGTCTGCGAGGGACTGCAGTTTGCGTCATGTCAGAAAAAGCTAAAGGACAGATACCAGCGTCACTCACATAAAACAGTGCATCATCCTGATCGTCGCAAGCATGTACAATAGCGGCCTTCAGCTTGAGGGAAGGGTGAACACCGCGCACGGGTGGGAAGGATAAATCTTCAAGACATTAGTGTACGTGGATGAACGAGAAGCGAATCACTCACCAAACGGCTCACCTCCATGATCGAGTAGCTCATCCCACGACATCTGAAGTTCGCCGATGACCTCTCCACCACCTAACATTCGACCAAACTCATAGGATGCCCTGATCTCCACTGACAACGCAGGTGAGGAGTGTGATGATCTATAAACCAAAGATGAGTTCTTGTATAGCGTCAGAAAGCCTCCATGGACTTTACAGAGTGACAGAATTCCCCCACAGTACAGATTCATCAGAGGATAAGACGCTGATAGCTGATTTCCAGCGTCTCCGGGAGTCGACATTGACGGATATGTAGATGCCAGCGGGAATGTGCCCGGAAGGGACTCGAAGATTCTTTCCACTGGTAGCTGTAGGTCGAGTGCAAGGATGATAAAACAGATACGAAGGTATAGAGTTCAGCTGAGAGGGTCTAGGCCCAGTCGTAGCTTACTTGCCGCGCACGACGCTGGATCACTCGCAACGCCGAGCCTATCGGGAAGAAAATCCCTTGCGGGAAAGGTGGAATTGCCTGATCTATCTCATCAAAACTTTCACTCGCGTCAGGCTGGTGTACTCAGCGAATGGGAATTTACATCCGATCAAAAGCTCGCAATTAATGTACAGGGACATCAAGAATTTGACATGAGAAATCCAAGTTGCGTCACGAATGCATCCCGTGTCCGTGAATGTGTAACAAGGCCGCTGGTCAAAGCCACATGGAACTGCGCACGATGCACACATTATGAGTCGCGACTTGTTCGACAGAGGGGGCCCGAATAGAAATAAGAGCGTGTGAGGGCTAGAAACGTTGAAGAACGGAAGATTTAAATGATGGCAAATTGAAAAAGGTGGTTGAAGTTTTGGCCACGGTTTAGCGCCCCACTAAGGTCACGTACGCAGTGTGGCCCACTCAAAGGTCTTAACGTACTACTACCTACCACCACCACCACTACTACTATCACTACCATCACCACCATCACTCTTCTTCTTCATCGTGGTTGTCGTCAGCGTTGAGTCGGTCGATGTATTAGGATGTCGAGCAAGAACAATTCTCGGTTCTCTACTCTCAAAGTATTCAAGTTTAACAAGGAGAGATCACCACCACCGCCTCCTCCCAAGGACGATCAACACTTTCAACAGGGATTACAAGTACAAGGAGGTCCTTATGGTTCAAGCAAATCGCTTTACAACCCAAGCGTAACTTCTTTGTCTCCTCCTAGCGACCTACTACCATCACTACCAACAACGCCTGACTACAACCGGGCCTCACCTGAGTCCGCTCCTTCAGTCCGTTCTTTTGGTCCTGCAATGTCTATAGAGAGCGAGAAATCAAAGCGAAGCTTATTCAAGTTCTCGTCAATGGGCAAGCGTAATAAATCAACGAGGAATCTCATAGAAACAGAAGATCCCGAGCCTCCCCAAGAGGATGAGAGCATATCTAAACCATGGAATTTTCAGGTGAGTTTGCTTGTAATTCACAGTCATCCTTGCTAAATGAACGGCCAGCATCATATTCATGTTGACGAGGGGTGAGTATCCCCTTCTTGTGCTCTACGACCCTAACCCTTTTTCCAGATTCGTAGGACTTCCTCCTTCATGGTCCAATGCTCTTTCCCAAGCTGGTTTTACTGACGACGAAATCGCAGCAATTCACGCCCGCCGCATAGCTGCTCGTAGAAACCCAAATGCATCACGTCCCGATTCACCACTTTCCATTCTTCACCACCCAGCACCCCGAAGTTCATCCCTTGCAGCCCACTCATCAAACGCAACACTCATAGCAAGTGCATATATCAACGCCCCATCCCCGACCTCCTTCGACTTTTCCCCGTCTCGTCAATCCTCATTCACCGCCACATCCTCCTCACACTCGCACTCTGCTGTCGAACAAGAAACAGTAGACACTCAGTACGTATTCGTCAATGGTACAGGGCACGAAAGCATGATTGATCCATACCCCCTCGACACACAATCCGTGTCCACACACCACAGCAGTCACACAAATGCACCTCAAATCGCTCGTATTCAATCTGAGGCACCTCCTCGGAGTAACTCCGGCCACGTCCCGAGCCCCCTGGTGTATTCTCACAGCTTGCCTCCGAGGAATCATACCCTCGATGTGCATAGCATACACAGTGCTTCCCCACGCACGCCTCCGAGGAGAATGTTCCAAGTTGCTAATGCGGACGAGTCGCCGCCTCCTGCTTACCATTCTCCAGTCCGTACGTCTTTTTTTCGGGATAAACATGGGTTCCCATTAGAAGAACGTGGGAGTGCGATAGAAAAAGAGTCTGGACAACTAAGGGAGAAAGAACGGGATGTGGATTCGATCTTGGATATCTCAGCAACAGCAAACACCACCTCTTCGCTCCACACGGGCACAGACATGGATCTTTCACTTCCGAACGTTGATCCTGCGCTGCTGAATAGGCACATGAACCCGACGCCTCCGCTGGTCATTGATAAGAGGCTGACGAAAGTGGGTGCTTTACCTCCGAGGCTTAGTTTTCACTTGAGCTCGGATTTGGGGCTGGAGGATTGGGGGGTTGGGTTGCTTAGTGGGTTGGAAGACGGGAGTGGAAGTGGAAGTGGGGGAGGGAGCAAGAGTAGACTTGAAGACCGACTAGGACTCTCAAAACCAGGGAGAATCATAGAGTCGAAGCGGAAGAGCTCCTTGGAAAATAGAGGGGAAGGCAGCAGTAGCTCGCTCCTCCCTGGATTCTCGCTACCTTCTTCCTCCTCGCGACTATCACCATCACCATCACCATCACCATCAACTTCAACATCACGCTCTCCATCAACTTCATCCCGTCCATCAACACCCTCATCTTCAAAATCCCACTCTCTTATTATTTCTACAACTACATCGACGCCGTCTACCTCCCCTTCTCCTTCTGACCCTTCACATTCTCCTGGATCGACACAGCTGACTTTGAGCGTGCTTTCGCCGATGCTCTCCCCTACACAACTAAGTTCAAGCATGATCTCTCCAACCTCGATACAGACACTCCCGACACTCCCAGATGTGTCGTTTGGAGCGGATATAACGCTTGGGGCTCCGCTACGTGTTATGGTGCCGAGGTCACCTGCACCTGGGAGCAGCGTACCGCCTACGCCGACGACAAGGAACACACCACCGCCTACAACAACTGGAACGTCGCCTACACCGACACGGAATGCACAACGTACGCCGATGAGAGAACTTCCGCCTGTACCTCCTGAAGAGGTAGAGGTTGATAGCAGTACTGGTCCTGTGTTACCGGATATTTCGTTAGGGCCTGACGTCTCTTCGCTTGGTGTTGGGTTGGACCTCTCTTCACTTGGACTTGGGTTAGATGTTTCATCTCTCAGTGCTGGTGGACCAAATATTCCCAGCTCGAGTACCCAAATTACCAGTACAGAACACAATGAGCTCACGAAACCCTCGTCGCCCCCGGCTTACAGACCGGGAATAGAGGTTACTGTGTCACCGCAGTCGCCTACCAGTGCGATATTATCGTCGGAGATTTCGGGTGGGGGTTCTTCGAGAAGAGAGGGTGTTGGTGCTTTGATGGCAGGTGATCGTGGTTCTCCCTCGATGACAGGTTCTTCTTCCACAACGGGCGTTTCAACAACAAGCAATCACGGTCTACCTTCAATCACAAGTAACCGCAGTGCCTCTACAACCCTCCTCCCCTTACGACCTGCAGGCGACCGCGATTCCGGAATGTCAACGATGACAGTCACACCCGCTACCATTGTGAGCGTGAGTGGAGCCGTGGCTATCACGTTGGCAACAGCTAGCGTTGTTGACTCTGATTCTGTATCGCTGAGTGCTGTTGAGCCTAGAGATGATGTAGTGAGCCGCACAGAAGACGGCCCGACCGTTGTGTTGGACTCAGATGGTGCATCTGTGGTGCTAGGCTCAGATGGCGCGTCCATCGCGCTAGACTCGGATCCTGCATGGCCAGAACCCCCTCTCACTCCCGACCTCGACACAACTCCGCGTCAACCCACGCGTTTCCGCGCAACCTCCCTCCGTGTGCAGGGTTCTCCCCACAGCTCGCATTTCAGCAGCGATACGGGCTCCACTACTGAAAGCGCACCCCTTGTCACGCCCAAGTTGCACGTTCCGCCTTCGCCGCTCCGGGATAAGAGGTTCGCGCCTGAGACTGCGCTTCTCACATCAACAACCGATACGTTTGGAGTTGGAGGGCGGGACAGTGATAGCGACAGCGATGAAGGGTTCACGCTTTTTCCTCCAAAAGCACGCTCCCAATCCCAATTGCAGCGCTTACCAGAATGGATCGCAGACGCCATCTCTCCTCTCTCCGAATTCATGATCGACGTCGATCCCCAAGAATATTTTGCAGACCTACAAGAAATTGCAGAAGGCGAGAGCGGCTCCGTATACGCCGCCCGCCTCGTCTGCCCCGTCCAATCGCTCTCTCTATCCCCTGGAACGACGCACGTAGCCATAAAATCCATCGCAATTCACCCAGCTGTATCTCCAAAGTTCCAAGACCTGAGCCACGAGATGGAGTTGATGCGCGGGGTGCATCATGCGCATGTATTGCGCATGGACGCGTTTTATGTGAATTTGGTGGATGATTCAGTGTGGATACGGATGGAGCTGATGGAGAGGAGCTTAGCGGATGTTGTGGGGCTTGTTGGGGAGGGGTTGTCGTTGCAGGAGAGGATGATTGCGAGGTTTGCTAGTGATGTGAGTATTCCTTTTCCTTTCTTTTTGTTTCTGTGTGGGGTATGCGTGGGTGGATCCTGACCGATGAATGGATGAACAGGTTCTACTTGCGCTCGAATACCTCCAGAAACACCATATCGCCCACCGAGATGTCCGTTCTGATAACCTCCTTTTAAACGCGAGCGGAATCGTAAAAGTTGGTAAGTGGCCCCCTTATATGCTCGATTGTTTACTCCGATCATCACTTGCTTTGTTGCCATCTTTTGTTTATTATTGGTGAAGAGATGCTGATTTCATCTTGATGACCGTTTGATCCATAGCTGATTTCTCGAATGCTGTGCGTGTGACGAGAAATTCTCCGATGTGTGTTGGGGCTGTGGGCGTTATCTACTGGCAGGTACGTTTCATAAGGTTCTTCGTCCTCCGCGTGTTGATGGTGTTCGTGTTCGTGTTTTGCGTTTTGCAGGCTCCAGAGATGCGAGTGTGAGTGTATTTATTCCATTCTCTCTCATTAGGAATCTAATCTCATCTTCGTTTCTTCTTATTACAGTGGAGCGTATAACGCGCTCAAAGTTGATGTCTGGTCTCTAGGCGCAACAGTATGGGAACTAGCACAGACAGAACCGCCTTTTGCAGACGTCCAAGACCCGCGACAAATCGGTGTCCAGTGGCCGCCTCTGCGTCAACCAGAGCTTTACTCGCGCGGGTTCCACGAGTTTTTGAAGTTATGCTCGAGGCCGTATGCATCAAGGCCGAATGCTAATGAGTTGATAAACGTGCGTTTATATCCTTGTGCGATTTTGACTCGACGCTGACCGGACGTTGATTTCGATCGTGATTTCGATTTGTAGACGCCTTTCATCCGCAATGCATGCGGCCGAGCGGTGAATGTCCAACTCTTATCACAGTGTAGAGCTATTGAAGAGCATGTGTTACAAAGGGAGAGTGAGAGTGGGGGTGAGTCGTGACAAGTAGATGGATGGACGGACGGACGATTTCCTTTTGTTTTTGCCGGCGCTGTGCCCGCGTTACGCATTCCTTTCATAAAACTATCTATCAACATATTCATATCGCTATCTATATCCCCAAAGTCATTACTCATATCTCACTTATTCCCATTTCATCAGATCTGACGGGGTTTTTACACATCATGGCTTTGTTTGTGATTCAATTTGAGCGATGCTGCTGCATGGCGGTGTTCTTTGGGTGATTTGGGTAGGATATGATATGGTGGTTGAGTGGGCGAGTGATGATTGATGATGAAATTTCTCTTGGCTAGCGCTTCGGACGAGTGATGCGAGGACTTTGGTTTCGAATTGTGATTTGTAGTAGTTCATATACAGCGATCAAGAGCGCAGAGCAACCAATGAGATCTATATTTGAGTCCTTTACAAGTTAAAGCTTTGAATCGAAGTAGTTCCGAGTCATTGGACATACACCGCGATAGGCTGAAATACTACTCTTAGCTAACGGGATGGATTTCTCAAAAATCAAGTCTTTGGCCCGAATGTAGACAACGGTCCGCGCGATGAAGGTCCGTAGACAATAGATTCATGCCACGTACTGTGTGACTTTGGCATGATCAGATTGATGGCGCTTAATTTTGAGATGACCGTGACAGTTCCTTCGTATTCCAAGAGGTCGAAGAACACCGGGATATTGCTAACGAAAGACTGAAGGACCATCACATCTGCAAGGTCTCGGTCTAAATTTACATCAAATGGAAGATGCATCGATGAAAAGCAGCGTGAGTAGTAACAACCGACGAACCAGAAGCCATAGCGACCAGGACAAGGGAGAGGAGAATCCGACGACTTGAACTTAGTAGCATAGCCCAATTGATGCTGAGTGGCCCGTGTGGAGCCGCTGTGATCGCGCTCACAGATAATTTTTTTGCGAGACGCCGTGTCTTCGAGAGACACAGGAATCGTAATGGCGCTCGGCGGCGCCAGTCCCTGACAAAACATTTGTTTAGACTTTCAATTTGCGGTGCGAATTTTGACCATGAAAATCAAGACGCACAAATCAATTGGTGTCAACACGAACTATGCGCATTTGATCGCCCCGTTCTTCGCTGGTGGTAAGTAAGTACTTGAAAGGACCATTATCATCATCGGTACCCGTGCTTATCGGAAATCGGAAAGCGTTTTCCACGATAAGACGGCATGACATCTACATCCTAGCCTGCCAGGGACTCCGACTACTACCCTGAACTAGCTATCCTGTCTTCCGTATTTTCGTCTTGCCTCTGGCTTGGATTCCCCTCAGCATGCACTGCTTTCCGCTGCCGTCGCCACTGGTCCTGTCTTCCAAGTCCAGATTCTTCCTCGTTTGTCACATTCAGGCCTGATGGCAACCTTGCCCGTTCTCTGGGATTCCCTATGATGGAATCTTTGCTTAATTACGTGCCAGCATCCCCGAGTCAGGGACGAGGGTCCAGGCATGAGATGCAAGGTTTCAAACGCAATTTTGAGTGGCACATCAAACCACATATTCGTGTCTTTCTATGTGCCGCTAACTACGTTGGACTCGCTCATGTTTTTAGCTCGTCATGATGATAGTAGCTGTCGTCGCTCCTACTCTAAGTCACTGTTAGTTGTTCTCACTTCCTTTATACTCGCGCTTCTAGTTTCATACCTCTTCAGTGTCCGCCTTGTAATGCCTGCTGTCAGTCGCTTCTGTGCCTTGGCATTTACTACTGGTTGAGGCCAGCCCTGCCTGCCTATTGTCATCCATCAGGTCTCATCAACAGCGCCCACCTGTCTCCGGGAGGCCCGTCTGATGGTCCCTTGTAACCGTTCAGAACAAGACCCGTGAAAGAGCTAAACGCTCTTCGATTGGCGCCCAGGAGCCCTGAAAAGCCGTTAATTTGATCCTCAAGAGCTATGATCCGGGCCTCCTGCGCTGAAGAAACTGTGAAATTTAACTCTGTTGTTTGACACGACACAATATCACAATGATATCTTTGCGTTCCAATTGACCACAACAATGTCTCTGGTTCTGGAAGCCGTTTCATGCAGCAACTGCGTACGTAGTGGCATCCACCGCCTCCGTACTCTAAGTCTCATTAAAAAAATATCAAAAGTCTTACGGTAGTCTCTTCTAGGCACAACCTGTCCACCCGAGTCAATTGGTAATTTTACTTCTCGTCACTTATCAAAAAAACAAATTCACTCCAATCAAAAGGTTAGTACGTTATCCTACTTGGCCCAGTTGCGAGGCTGTGATGCGTCTATAACATTTCAGGTGCATCCTATGGACCCTGGCGGACCACCTCCTGGAAGGTTTAAATGACCGTACGGAAAACTAATACAATGTCCCTCTCGCCTCTGCCTGTGGTAAGCTCTGTCTTTGCTGTACCGTTCAATATTCCTTGACTGACATTCTTCTTATCCAGCCATTGAACTGAAGATGAATCATGTATTGACAACCACTGGTCAGAAACACCCCCAGTGCTATAGCAGTCAGCTCAAGCCCTTTTACCACGGAGCAACATCGCGATATACTAGCCCTTCTAGTGGAAAATGCAAGCGCCTGGTTGTGCAGTCCGTTAATCCCAGCTCAACAAGTGATTGGAACGAGCGCAACGTTCGGTCGAACGCGCCACTGTCCACTCGGCTTGCTTATTGGCTGACCAGGATGATATTCAGCCCATCCAACGAAACATTTTTGTGGTTATTCGTCTGGCCCCTTTATATCATCGCACTGCTACTTCCATCCAAAGGCCATCCATTCACCATCCATTACAAGCCGTATTTGAGGCGGTTTGTTGGTCAACTGTGGGCTGCACGCTCACCACGGGAATACTCTCTACGAGCACGAGCAGGTGAAGATGATGTACGTGTCCGACATGTCACCCACGCCCTCTACCCCCGCATCCTTGTTGTATTTGATGGAAATACAAGAAGTTGGGAAAGAGTCGACGTTGAGGCAGTAGCGCGGCGAAGACCATATGTCGCTGTCAGCTACCGCTACGCCGACGTGATAAAATTCGGAAGGGAGACAATCATAGAGCGGGTGCGGTATGCTACGTTGGATCAAGGATTTGACGCGTACTGGCTAGATCTCGAGTGCCTACTTGAGGATAAGAGCCAAGACTTATTTCGCATGTCAGATGTCTACCGGCTTGCCTCCTTTACACTCATTATACTCACCGACGAGAGTGTGTGGTCTGATTGGGGCAGCCGGGTTTGGACTCTACCGGAAGCTCTCCTTAGTCGCGAGCTCCGATACATGGCTGGAAACAATGCAGTCACTCCCATCAGTCTCATCCAAATCGCCTCTTTAGCTTACCGTCACCACGATAAGGAATCCCAGATTATTCACTCTTATGGCCTTGGGAAGGATCCGCTCGAGAGGTTGGCGCGCAATCTACAACTCAAAGAAGCAATATGGCGTCGAGAAAGCTTTTCCTCTCAGATTACGAGTCAGGGTGGAAATTCTCAGGGGAGATATCGCGCAGAAAAGGTCTATGCGCTCATGGGATTTTTCGAGCATCGCATTCTCCCGGATCCTGAGGAGACAGAGCTACAAGCGCTTGCACGCTTATTTATGGCGAACGACAACGACCGCATTGCTGATCGCATGATCTCGATGTTTCCCAAAGACAGAAGCGCTATAAATCAATGGTACACCAATGAAGACGAATATGGTGCCAAGCTTTGGGACATTGAACCCGCTGTACAGGTCATCGGCATCACATCCAACGGTTCTCTTGTGTTGGATGGCTGTCGGATGGCAGCAATTAGGTGGAAGAATTTCCCATCCGTCGCGTTTGCTACGAGGCGCTCTATCCGACGTCTTCTGGCACTTGCAGCGCCATATGTGGCCTTGTTCTTATTTGTGACGAGTTGCGCCATCATTTCCCTTGGAAATGAGGAAGCCTCTGCTAGCGCAAATATTTATGGATCTTCCTCGGGAACCTCGCCTTCAGTTGCAGGCGGCGGCGTCATACTCGCTTTCTCACTTATTCTGCTAATATGCTCACCGGTTCTCACATGCTATGCGCACTCTGGGCGCGTCGTCCTTGCTTGTCCATGGCTAATTGGAGTCAAAGGAGTCATCTCTGCCCAGGAAGCCTCTGACCATCTGTATGGGCATCAGATGGGGGATTCTCGCCGCACCCTTTACACTCCTTCCGGTTCGCCTTTGGCGAAACCGAGAGAAAGCGATTCCCCATTTCGCGAGGGCCATGTTTTGCAGTACGAAGCAGCCCTTGCAACCCCACCATTCGACCCTATCGAAGGTCATATGTTCACCCTCGTCGACACCATCTCGGGCACGATCTACTATTTCCGTGCGCATAGGCCGCCCACGGTCTGTCTTTTTACTGGATCTGAGGGTGGGCAAGGGAGGTTTGTGCTGGCCAGCGAGGAATGCAGCAGAAGCGAGTTGCGACGTGAGACTGTGCTCCGTATGCCAACTTTCATCTCTGCTCACATGCACACTTGTGATTGGATGGCTTTGGGTGGTAAGCCTCAAGACTAGTACAAGCAATGACTTGTTTCATCGTTACTCTTTTATTAACACCCTCATTTCTGTAGCGCGTTTATCTTCTCCTTTTCGCATTTCTTTTGTACTTGAATTTTATTCTCATAATACGTATTGAGTATGCTTGTGAATAATTGGTTCTTCACGGAACGTCCGTTCATTTGTTCCCTTTCTTTTACTCTTGTCTGAAGTATGTTTTGTCCTGTTGTACGGATAAATTATTGGTTCTTGCTTTAGCGTCGAATGAATGAAGGCACATAGCACTACTGGGCACCATGCTGATTGATGCGGTCCTGAGTACTGAGTACTGAGTGCCCGATACTGACGCTAGATTATGACATGATATTACGGCAAGCAGAACCAGTTCATCCTTTGATAGACTTCCCGGCACTTTCCGGACAACTGCTGGCGGACCCGTCCCCAGACTTTGACAGAGTCTGTGACCTGTATAGACCTCACGCAGTTGGCCAAATCCCGCACTTTCTGGCCTAACGAAAATCGTGCAAGGTAAATTATTAGTCAGCAAGCTCAGACGGTTACTAATTCTAATCTTTGAATTAGACATTGATCGGCGAGCGGCAGCCAGTATTGGGCAAAGACACAGCGATGGCGCTACCTCTCAACAAGACTCGACTACTGTACTTGGAAGCACTCCCGCACAACAGCACTACAGCCGAATCGTTGGATCCTGGCGATCACATCGGGACGGTCGTTCAGGTCACCATCAAAAGCAGAAACCCAAGGTAACAAGACAACTGCTGGGGATAATTTCAGTCTCATCTCGAGAGGTTTAAATATTGCTTCCAGTCCTTCGAAGGTGGAACTGGCCATATTCGCTATAGAGCAGCATGATATCACGGTAAGCGCGCGTTAACCGTGACGCATCCTGGCAAGCTCAGCCAAACTTACATGTCTTTTCAGACGGCTATAGAGACACTACTGCTTGGACATGTCAACGGTTCTGACTCGGAGGGGCTTCCAAAGCGCGTGGTCATTCGAGAAGACAGGCTGCTGGGGTACGTTCTTGTTGGCGGTAAGGAGCTGCATTTTCTGTTTTGTTGATTTATCTCGTTACAAAAACTTTCAAGTTCACTATTGAGCTAATTTTTTTTTCGTCGATGACTTCTAGAGCGACGGAAATGGTCGTACGGACAACGCAAAAAATTCTACTGGGGCAGATATCCGTTAAGGAGTAGCGAAGATAAATGGATATTCTACTTCGAGACCACGAAATTGCCGCTTAGCTATACAGGGCGTCGAGTATGAAAAAGGTACTGTCAGCTTTGTATTCCACCATGTTGTTCATACAAACTGTATCTATACATTGACGAACGTTGTTGTCCCCCTCAGGCGGTTGCCCGTACCCCATTTACTATGATGCACTTTATTACCCTGAATTTCATCTGTCGTGCTTCGAATCCCCTGAAGACTTATGCTCTGGGCTTTCGTGAGCGCTGAGTCCGTTGTTTGTTCGTGGACTTACTGTTTGCAGATTGTGTGTAGTTTGACGGCGAATCGATTGTGGTGACTCACAACAAGGTGTCCGTGTTATCGTCTCTTGTCTTTTAGACATCAAATTATATTGGTTGGCTTCTGACCAATGTTATGATGTATTGGCATCTGTTATTTCATTTCCTTGCTCATTTCCGACACCGCTCCACTATGATCGCAAAACATTTGAGCGCTTTCATGGCCCCCTTCCGGCTCCCTGCGCTGGCTTTCTCACCTGTAGTACTACCAGCACAGGGCCGTCTCATTTTCTGTCCTCGTTCTCGTGCTAAGACCGGTCATGGGATCTGTATTTCGCATTCAAGAACGCCTTTTGTTTCTGCAGTCAGCCGGCTCTCAAATCATGAGTCCTTTCCAAAATGAAGACAAGATAACGGCGGAAGAAAAGGGGCTTGCTACACACGTACAATTTTGGAACCACATGATGGTCAGTTCCTCATGAATTTGTGGAGCCGCGGACAGAACCCTCCTAGGCAAATCTAGAACTTGGACTTAAAGAGGACCAGGAACTCACGAGGGTTTCGGAGGGTAGCCTACCCATCAGGTCTAGGCTGTAGTGGTGGTGTTGCAGAGTTTGAATGTATAATGATGTCATCTTGCGACACTGATGTGCATATGTGCTAGGCAACGAAACACGGTGTACGAAGTCTGGGCTTAGTCTGAGTCATGTGTAGATGAAGGTAAGTCGTCACTCTTGTCTATCACTCTCTTAAATTTTTTGTTTCAGCAAAGTCTTTAGTCCCTAAGCTAGCGGAGAGGGAGTCTGTCTGTCTAGGCCTGGGGCGGGTAGGGCGCAGAAAATGCAGATCCATTGTCCCAGATCTGCTGTCACTTAGGTTTCATGACGGCTCTATGCAAGAAGATGTGGGACATCCCGGGCCACCATCCATCAGCCCATCTTCCTGGTCATGAGTCACCCTTCTTTGGTGCTCGTACCTCCCACTTTAGAAGGAACATAGGCTCAGCCTGAGCGATGTGTAGATGAAAGTCAGTCGTACCCCTTGTCAATAACCTCCTTATAGCTTCAATATATGTCCTTGAAGGTCTCGCACACGCTTCGACAATATCATGTTACCTGTTCCTTTTGCACAAAGATAGACATGCCACCACCACCAACGAGTCACGATGTTGATACTAAGGACAGCTGGTCCAGGAGGATCGAGGCTATATCGAATGCCGGTTGTTATTTTTACACACCTGTCAGACGAGGTTGCTGACTTTGTGCATCTTCGAAGCTTCAGGTGCCGGGGAATGCAGCCTGCCGGAATGTCCAGCTTGACGCGACATGTCAAATCGTCATATCTTACATCATGTCCTCGCTCGGATTGACAGTGTTTCTTTATCCACCCTCTTTTTATTTTCAAATCGCAGTTGGTCGAGGTGTTATGATCAACCTAACCAAACAACTTTCTCTCTGTATATAATGTACAGTGTTCGAACGTCTCATTTCAATCCAACCACAGCCAACAAATCATCTCTCCTGTTGAATATACAATCATGGTTTTCTACGCATATGTCAAACAGGTACCAAAATCCATTCTTCGTTGTCTGCGATGTCATGCTAAATTGCTGTTCAGATCACGGACAACGTGACCTATCGATATGTGATTACCTTTGCTAGCCGCGAAGTTGCGGATGAGTGGTGGCGCGCCGTGTCCACTTCCGCCGTCGCTAGTTTCGTTACCAGTGTTCAGCGTGTCAACGCCCAGTTCTACACTCATAACGTGAACGTGGCAAACGCCGCCGACTCCCTCACCACGACTGGGGTTGCGACTCAATTCCTCGGCAAGGTGTTTTTCACCTTGCTGAATGACTTGGGTGGTCGCGGCTTGAGCATCATCCCACGGCTCGAACATTGCGCGGACCACATCAGCGGAAACTCGTAAGTTAGTTCCTTGCGGGATGTTCTGCATTTTTCTGATAGCGGCCCTACCAAAGTTTCTTCATTCGCTCTAAAGTCGCTCCTCACGACTATTGGTACTATCCCCCATGTTCTAACGCGACGAACGCGGTCTGTGTTTCGCGCACCGAACGCACTCGCTTCACCGTTAATCGCACCAACAGCGGTACTGCAGGGACCGTCATGATTGGCTCTGACAATGTCGTTATCACGTTGACCACCGTTGATCTGTCCGTCAACGTCAATGCCACCACTGGTCAGGTGATCCTTTCACTTGCTCCTCTGTCGGGGTTGACTTTTAGTACCCTTTTGACCAACTTCACCGTTGGGCCTTCCTTGTCTGTGGACGGTGAGACAGTGAAGGAACTCCTCTACACGGAGAATGGGGAAGAGTGGGAACTCGCTTGAATGGCTATCATTTGAAACAAAGTTGTCTTGTACTGCTACTGCTATAGTCTCGCCGTTATGCGTTTATGAAGGAAGGAAGGTATTTGTTCTCGTACTGTTGGTAATGCTAGGAAGCAATCGCATTTTTTGTTGAATGCCTGCCATCACGTATGACTTTGAGATACATGAATCCTTTTAGCATCAACAGGCCTCTCTACCAACCTACGACAACAGTGTTTAGAGTTACCTCTTTCACTAACAGCCGGATGATTGATGACTGCATCGATGAGTGGTGGGTGACAGTCAGGTACTGCTCTCACCGCGGACTATGTGCCTTGTTGAGTCTTGCAGTACTGCAATATGGTGATATCATGTTTAAACAACCCCCTTCCTTCGTGGAAGATTGAAGCCATTCAGAGCATGGTCATGGTATGTTTCCTACACAACCACATATTGTAAAAGGGAGAAAGAAGGCGAAGCGCACGAGTATGATTTGAGTTTCCTGAGTGCCTGATACACTAGTACTGCTGGACTTGCCGGTCAACCTTTGTGTGGCAAGCTGTCCGAGGAAAACGATCGGACGTTGAAAATGGTTCCGGCATAGCGGCAAGTTGAACTCAGAGGCAAGCGAGGGCATGTAGGATATGTTATGTAAGTCTGCACAAACTCCGCCTCAAAGTCTGGGGACATGTCTGGGTGTGTTTTGGCGGCAAGTTCCGGGTTGACATCATCACTCCTGCCATGATCTACGTCAGCCACTGTGACACTGATTCCATCAGCTACCCACGTCAGTGGTTAGCCACCCCTGCCATCTACATCAACCACCCCCCCATCAGCAATTCAACCACCCCTGTGTCACGCATCAGTAAGTGCAATCAACGATGAGTCCGGTTGATGACATTCGCAGGATGGCACCTGAAATATTTGGCAGCTGTGGAGCTGCAGTCGATCAAATGTTGTTTGTGGTCACGACGGGCAATGTGAAATGGCGGGAGAGGGGGTGAGGCTGATGGTGGGATGGCGGGGGCTGACGCTAGACTATGACATAATTCGGCAGGCAGACAAACTAATTTAACATTGTTCATCCTTTGATAGACTTCCCAGCACTTTCCGAACCACTGCTAGCAGATCTGTCCCCAGATTTTGACACGGAGTCTGTGACTTGTCTGTATAGACCTCACGCAGACTGGCCAAATCCCGCACTTTCTGAGGCAAGCAAGGTCAAATTCGGCAACGCCGAATCCTAGTAAGCATTGCCATGCCAGTAAAAATTTCTGACACATCGAAGATAACAAAAAACCTATATAAAGTTTGGCTGCGAATTTTTGCATAGTATCAAGGATGCGGAAGCATAAATCTCAAAAGTACGATCCTGATGAACAAAACAATAGAGAAGACAAACCGAAAGGACTGTCGAGACTTCTGAGAAGACTTGTATCAGAAATTTCGGAATCAGCGTACCTAATATGGTCAAGCGCTGGTGACAATACAATAAATGGCAACAGACGACGACTTGCACAGAGTAAGCACTTCACTACTATAGGAACATTCTGATCAGAAACACTTGTAGAAGCCTCGAAAGTACGAGAGCACGGTCATCCGGTTTTGTATAGGAACAATACTTACTCACACATTGCAGTGAATCGCCTTATGGCACCTCTGGAAGCTTTAAATGATGACCGTGCAGAGAGCTAATGCATTGTTCCTTTTGCTTCTGCCCGCGGTAAGCTCTGTTGCTGTATCGTTTAGTATTCCTTAACTGACTTTGTTGTTATCCAGCCATTGAATCAAACATGAGTCATGTATCGAGAACTACTCATCAACCCCAGTGCTACAGCAGTCAGCTCAAGCCTTTTTATCACCATGGAGCAACATTGCGATATACTAGCTCATCTAGCGGAAAATGCAGGCACCTCATTGTGCAGTCCGTGAATCCCAGCCTGAAAAGTGATTGCCACGAGCGCGAAATTCAATCAAACATGCCATCATCCACTAAGCTTGCTAGTTGGCTGACTAGGATAATGCTCAGCCCATCCAGCAAAACATTTTTCTGGTTATTCATCTGGCCTCTTTATATCATTACACTATTTCTTCCATCCAGACACCCTGCAACTATGGGCTGCACGCTCACCAAGGGAATACTCTCTACGAGCACGAGCAGGTGAAGATGATGGACATGTCCGACGTGTCACCCATGCCCTCTATCCCCGCATCCTTGTTGTATTTGATGAAGACACACAAGGTTGGACAAGAGTCAATGATGAGGCAGTAGTGAGGCACAAACCATATGTCGCTGTCACCTACTGCTACCCCGATGTGATAAATTCCGGAGGTACAGAGGCACTCATAGAGCGGGTACGGCATGCTACCTTAGATCAAGGATTCGATGCGTACTGGCTAGATCTCGAGTGCTTGCTTGAGGGTCCCATAGGAAAGGCCCAAGACCTGTATCGCATGTCAGACGTCTACCGACTCGCATCCTTCACACTCATCATACTCACCAACAAGAGCGCTTGGCTTTCTTGGGGCAACCGCGTTTGGACTCTGCCGGAAGCTCTCCTTAGTCGCGAGCTGCGATACATGGCTGGAAATGAAACAGTCACCCCCATTAATCTCATCCAAATCGCTTCCTTAGCTTACCGCCACCACGATAAAGAATCCCAGATTATCAACTCTTATGCCCTTGGGAAGGATCCGGTCGAGAGGTTGGCACGCAATCTCCAACTCAAAGAAGCAATATGGCGTCGAGAAAGCTTTTCCTCTCAGATTACGAGTCAGCGCAGAGATTCTCAGGGGAGATATCACGCAGAAAAGGTCTATGCGCTCATGGGATTTTTCGAGCATCACATTCTCCCGGATCCTGAGGAGACAGAGCTACAAGCGCTTGCGCGTTTGTTTATGGCAAATGACAACGACCACATTGCTGATCGCATGATCTCAATGTTTCCCACAGATCGAAGAGGTGTGAATCAATGGTACACCAACGAAGACGAATATGGTGCCAAGCTTTGGGACATCGAGCCCACTGTACAGGTCATTGGCATTACATCCAATGGTTCTCTTGTGTTGGATGGCTGCCGGGCAGCAACGATTAGGTGGAAGAATTTCCCATCCGTAGCATATGCTACGAGGCGCTCTATCCGACTTCATCTTTTACTTGCAGTGCCATATCTGGCCTTGTTCTTCATTGTAGCGAGTTGCTACATGATTATCATCGGAAATCAATGGTTTAGCGATGATAAATACGATGTTCTACGTATAGCCGGCTACGTCACGCTTGCCTTCGCACTTATTCTGCTAATATGTGCACCCGTCCTCACAAGTTACGCACACTCTGGACGCATCGTCCTTGCTCGTCCATGGCTGATCGGAGTCAAAGGAGTCATTTCTGCGCAGGAAGCCTCCGACCACCTGTATGGGCGTCAGATTTGGAGTTCTTGTCGCACCCTTTACTCTCCTTCCGGTTCACTTTTGGCGAAATGGACAGAAAGTGATTCCAAGTTCCGCGAAGGCCACATTTCACAGTACGAAGCAGCCCTCACAGCCCCACCATTCGACCCTATTGAAGGTCACATGTTCACCCTCGTTGACACTGTCTCAAGCACGATTTACTATTTCCGTGCGCATAGGCCGCCCACAGTCTGTCTTTTTACTGGATCAGAGGGCGGACAAGGGAGGTTTGTCTTGGCCAGTGAAGAATGCAGCAGTAGCGAGCTGCGACGTGAGACGGTGCTTCGTATGCCGACTTTCATCTCTTCTTACATGCACCTTTGTGATTGGGTGGCTCTGGGTGGTAGACCTTAAGCCTGAGCTGGTACAAGCAATGTCTGGCTTCACTTATATTTTTCCTCTGCTTTTATCAACATCCTCGTTTCTATGGCGCGTCTCTCTTCTCCTTTTCCGAGTCTTGGTCTTTTCATTTTTACAAGGACACCTCCGGTCGGCTTTTCGACAATATACTGTGTTTAAGATTGCTTTTGGACTGTAGATTAGTATGTATTTGTCCGTGCTAGCTGCAAATTCTTATATATCACCCTTGAAAACGCTATGGCTCCGCATGCACTGGGCGAGAACATTTAAATAGCGTGGTTTACCGTTGCCCAGACGTATCAGGTTGTTTTTGGAATTTTCAATTTTAGTGTGAGATACTTTTACGCTGTTTTACCGTCACGTGACGTCCGGATTCGGCCGGATTTCTGGAACCCTTCTGCTTTTGGGCGGGCAAGTCTTTGCATGCCACTTTGCATTCTTTCTAACCAAACATTAGTTTAGATCTACTATTAAGTCATCTGTCGTTCCAAGGATGCAGGTCAATAATAGTGAAGACAAGAACTTCGAGGACAGATATTATACATGCCATAAAGGCATTTATAACAAGCGAGAGGGTCACAAGGAGTCTGATAGGTAAGAGTCTCAGTCTCTGGAAACAGAACTCTTTATTAATGAAACGTGTACCTGATAGGTAAGACTACGTTGTGTCAGCATATGTTTACGATAAGGTATGGTATAGGTACTCACGTCTCAGTCTCTGGAAACAGAACTGAGATGCTCGTCTGCACAGGTGCTAGACTTTATACATATTAGAATGAAACTTGATACATGTGCAGCTTCAGGCCTGATGTCAGCTCTCCCTTGTGCCTGCCCTTTCTCCCCTTGTGCTTGCACTCTCTATTTGACATCTCATGCCTCGCCATCAGCTCTCTTGGTCTTCTTCAACTTGGACGATTTGGACAACAACAAGCCATTCAACAAATCCTAGCGGGTGAAACCAAGATAAAGACTGTTGTAAGTCTTTCCTGCTGTACTGTACTGCAAACAGGCCTTCGACAGCATGTTTTTCAGCTCCAAAGGATGATCATAAAGTGAGACAGACAGCACGAGAGTAGTGTTGAGAGGCACGTCAGACACATCAGATTAGGTGCAAGCACATCGTTTCTCAGACATTTGCTCATCATTGGCCGAACATCATGTCAAAAGGTCTCAGATTAATTTGCATTCATTCCTGCTCTACCCGCACATAAAAACAGTCTCTCATAGAATTAGGCATCTCAGTCTTCCTCCCGGATACTGAGATGTAAGTGCTATTACCTTCATATAACATACCAGCTACTAACAAAGACTTAGTACATATTTGTTCTAGGTACTTATAGCACCTGGAGTCTTCCTCCCAGATACTGAGATTACATATTTGTTCTAGCTCTCATCTCAGCCGTGTGACCCCATCTAAGAAACCTACAAGTAGAGATAGGTGTTTAAGTGTGTCAGCTCTTGGGCCAGGTGAAATTGATGTGTGTATGGTTGTGACAGGCCTGTGACACTGTAACAAATTCTAAACAACTTTGGATTTTAGTTAATGATCAACATATGAGTGTCTGCCTACATGTGTACAGGCTCTATAGTGCTGTATTCACTTCTCACCAAATTTGTGGTGCTTGTCAAGTTATCCTCTGTCCACACTACTAGTATGCATCTTTCCTGTAGCATCTGCCTCACACTGACAATAACTAGTGCTGCTGTGGTCCAGTCCTGAACCATGGTTCGAACCGGACTTTTTGGTCTGGTTCTCCTGTGGTTTGGTCCATGGTCCAGGTGTCAGCCAGAACTGGACCATAATATGGTTCTTGGTTCTGGCATTGGGCGAACAGTTCAACTTTGGTTCGGACCGGTCCCGAACTGTTCCGAACTGCGAACCAAAAGAAGCTTGCCACATTGTTGAAGCGTGCTTTGACACTTCCTTTGATGATCCACTTCAGCCTCAGGGATTCTCAAGCTTCAAGATTTACTTGTTTCTATCAAATGCAGAGGCCCATTGACAAGGTAAGTCATGATATGCACTGTTCAAACAGACGAATCAGACCACACATCTCATTGTGCAACTCCTCCTGCAAGCCCATCATCCCACTCCCACGAAATCACTGCCTCCACCCCTAAAATCAATGCGCCAACAAAGACAAAGGCAACCAAAACCACTGAGTTTGAGGTGTTAGGTGAGTGACTTCATCTTCAAGTATCTTGTGCCCATTTTCTCATGCTTGCTCTCTCATATCTGTCCTCTTGTGCCTGTTCTCTTGTGCTAACTCTCTCCCACCTGTTCTCTCATGCCACGCCCCATCTTTCATGCCCTCCTACTTCTTGATATTGAGACCATTGACCGTGGCACCACAACAAGTCCTACCTATGTTTTTTTTTGCTCATTGTAAATAAATTTGGTTCAGTTCATGTTCGAACCTGAAAATGACTGGACCTGACCATTCTGAACCATTCACCAAGGTCCAGTTCGAGGTTCATCAAGTCTGGTAGAACCAAACCTAGGTCCAGTTCTTGGTTCTTGCTCGACCCTCTGTGAACCAGACCGAACCAGACCACGGCAGCACTAACAATCACAACCTGCATTCAGTCTTCCTGAGTTGATAGAGGAAGCCTCATCCATCCACACACACACACACACACACACTGATCCGTAGCACAACCATTTAAGACTCACAGACATTTCACCACCCCCACACACACACATGCACACAAACTAGCTTCAAAGTTCTGTCTCTTAGCACTAGCACTGTCCTCCTCATAGATTTGTTTGTTTGTCATGGATTCACATGCAGCTGGCGGGACTCGACAAGATAATTTGATTTGTTTGGCAAATCGTTCGTCGAAAGGAACTCGAAACGTAGATTGCATTGGCCGGCAATGAGAAAGAATGCAAAGCGGCACACAAAGACTTGCCCGCCCCCAAAAGCAGAAGGGTTCCAGAAATCTGGCCGAATCCGGACGTCACATGACGGTAAAACAGCGTAAAAGTATCTCACACTAAAATTGAAAATTCCAAAAACAACCTGATACGTCTGGGCAACGGTAGTGGTTGATGCTGCCCCCTATCCGTTCGTGTCTATCGCACTTTAAGTGGCTATATTTGAGCTATGTTATCGTATTGTTCAGTATCGCTTTCGGATACTGCAAACTGCAATTATTGACTCTTCATGTAAGGAATGACCCTCACAAGCCTGGCACTTGAATAGGTCCGTTGCAAGGAAGGCATGGATAGCGATGGACTTACGGCCTACATAATATGTACACCTCCACGATGATGATCATTCGCAGAATGTTTTGCGTTAGGGTTCCACCTGTCAATCACCAGCACTGGTCAAGATTCGGAGAGCATTTCAGGATTGGTTTTGGTCCTTCGCCCCGAATTCGCGCCTTGAATAAATTAGCATCGTGAAAATGTACTATTGCACAATCTATATAATCAGATGTTTTCATTAAGTTTGAAATTAACCAGAGATTAAGTATGATTGGTCGAGCATTCTACAATATCGTTAAAGAACAACCTGAAAGGAGCAGAGAGTAACAGGATCGTCGTAATATCACGAAACACCTGAGAAGGGATACATGGCACCAGTTTGATCTCAGCTTGAACACTTCCTCCCGATAAGTCCAACTATTCAGATGCGAATCAGTCTTCTTCCGGAACTTCGTGAATACTGGACAATGAAGATCGGCGATGTGGAATCATGAGACTCGCGCTACTCCTACGATGGCAGTGGATGCGCTTGGGGGGATGGGGTATGGAGCTTGACAGTGGGTGGATAATGTTTGACAGGTGCGAGGTGGAGACTGAGGAAATAGACAAGTCACTGGATAAGGACGACATGGAGGATGACGGAGATGAACTATAAATGATGTATGGTTCTTCCTCTTCCTCGCTCGATGATAGAGAGAGGGACGATGCAGAAGCAGTCAAGCGGGTGATATCGCCATTCTCTGGCATCGGTGATGATGCTGCAAGCCTACCAGAACAACCAAAGGTCATCTGAAAATCGCGTTAGTGACATAATTTGCAATGATGATAACCAATCACATTCTGTCGTGCACCAATCGCTCGAATCCACTCAGCAACGTGACGCGCCCACTCTTTCTTTTTTGAAAACTCGACCCGGTCCTTCCTCTGCTGCGCGGTTTCGATGAATTGTTGCTGCCTCCCGCGCACATCATACGGAGGGGAATAAACAAGGGCCGTGACTGAATGTGATGAAGCAACTAGGAGGCCGCTAACAGACTGTGCTGCATCGTGTAATGAGGACATGGTAGAAACCTAGAGTGGGGGTCTAGATAGTGACGGTAATCTGACAGGAGCAGCAAGCTGTGTATGAGGGTTACCTCTGATTATATATGACGGCATGAGTTGTGATCCAGAATGTTTTTCAGGGTACGCAGCCCACCAAACACCTCAAACATCCCATAACGTGTTTTGCTTCCCTCGACTTCTATGAGCGCTCCGCGGTGAGCAGCCAGTATAGCATTTGATGGCTTACCCATGTTGTGCAATAATCGTCAATGCAGTATTCCGCTCGAACGGGGAGCTCGGAAACCACTTGTCAAATGACGGAAGAATGTGCACCGGGTGGACCCTTCCGTGGAATTTCGTCGGGCATGTTATTCTTCCGTGCATATCTGGTCTCACCTTTCAACTTGTTCCCATCAACTGCAGAGATTATGGAGAGCATAGCTTACACGAATGGGTTCCTGAATTCCCGAGCCAGTTAGGCGGTAGTTAGACCGGCAAGTCATCGTCAAGTGCGCAGCATTTACCATTGATCAGTGTATGACTTTCTGACAGTCCATCAAAATACTTCCCACACTACTTCAAGTTTGTGAGGTACTACATGTATAAGACGTGAAGACGAGGCTGAGAAGACTCCTTTCGAGGAGCACCAGTTCTAGACGCCATGAAATTTTGAGTGAGCTAGTAAGGACGAAATTTGCATAACAAGCTTACTGTCGGTGACGTCAGTAACGGCGGTACTCCGTGTGGAAATCTGCGGTCCTTTCATTTGTCGGCTAGTTGAATATACTTTTGAGTTACGTAAGCGCAAGTGATTGAACATTCATGTCAGCGACCTTCAAACCTTCTTTTTGACTTCTATCTCCATTTTTCTGATATGTCTCTCGACAATGACACATCCACCACATCCACCTTTTTAGATAATTGTGCCTTCTGAATTCAAAGCGATCTTCTCACCATGATGAGCGACACTGGGCCGGAGTCTAAGACGACCAACGAGTCAAAGCGTTGTGCAAAGGACGTCCGTTGGGCCGCACGGGGTCAAGACATGTGCTATATTGGACGCAATGATGGAGGGTGCAGAGGGAGCTGGTTTGTTAAGCGGTATACGCTACGCAGCGGCTGTCCCGATACCGTTAGGTAGGAAGTTCAGACCAGCGGCGTTGCGGTGAGACAGAAAGTATTCGCTGTACCTGCGTGGTCGTGTTGGTGCCTTTCGCTGCCCATAATGCGCTGATGACTCTTGTGTTGCATTGCGAGTATTCTACGTTACTTATCAATCACTTAGTTTGCGTGATTAGGTGGATGGTTCATGCTGCCGACCTGGTGTTATATGTGTGATGTGCTCGCGCCGCGGTGCGCGGTGACAAGTTCACACCGTGAATCAGTTGCGTGTTGAAGCCAATGCTGAACTGCCTTTGAGCTTGGGTCTGTTGCAGTTGACCGACCCTTTCATTGCAACCAAGTATCGTTCAGTCCTTGTCAACTGAATTCATTCATGAGTGCAGGCCCTCGACCGGTTCGACGGACTTACGCTGGACAAAACAGGTATCACTAGTAGCGGCGATCAAGTCCTGACGGATTCCGTCGTAGAGATTTCCTGCACAATCTAGGCAGATTTCGAGTAAAGCCTGAGGGTCATCCATGTTTACTGTTTCAGAGGTGAGAATGGGTCAGTTTGATGAGAGTTGGAGTCTGAGGAGAGAAAGATTGGTTATTGCGACGAAGTACCGAATGAACTATCATCGCGGAAGAGGTGAAGCGCCACATTTGTTGCTTGCTCAAAGACATGAATCTATTTCATCCATTCGTCCCTTGCTACATAATACACCAAAAAAAAGAAAATAGCACAAGAGCAAGAGCAAGCATTCAACTGCTAGCTTGGTGGAAGCCGCAGTCACAACTGGCATTGACTTTTTGGAAGCAGCAACAGCAGCAGCCTCCGCTTTGGCAACCATAATTTCAGCATTGGCTGCTGCTTTGAGGGATGCTTTATGCATGGCAGTCACCTGGGCGTGCAGAGTCTTGAGTTCTTGCGTGTGCAGTTTTGAGAGTTCTTCGGTGGTCGGAGTGGCGGGCATCAGGAAACCGGCGAGAAGAAGGTTTTTATAGATATAAATGGCAAATTCAGATCACATGTTTACTGAGTTATACCTAAAGATAAAGCAAAAAATAATCACAGCATGATGGCATCGAAGGATAAGAATTTGCAAGAGAAAAATAATCCTGACGAAGATATACATCTCTCGCAATTGTGACATATGATAGATAAACTGTTGCAGGAAGTCCAGCTGCTCTCCAGAATAGTGGTCATCCTTTGCCTCAAATGAACTTCATGATGGCCGTTGGCAATGCCAACCAAGCAGCAATCATGCACTACAAAATACATGTAATGATGATACCAAATGATTGTCAGTCATAGTTGTGATATGTCTAAGATAATGTATTGCCAAACACGAGCAGTATGGTTACCTACTGTCTAAGCTGAACTTTGTGATGGATGTTTACATTGACAACGAATCAGTAATCATGAGTTGCAAAATCAACGGAATACTGATATCAATTGGTCGTGCTTCAAGCAGTATGGTTACCTACTGTCTAAGTTGGACTTTGTGATGGATGCTTACACTGACAACGAATCAGTAATCATGAGTTACAAAATCAACGGAATACTGATATCAATTGGTCGTGCTTCAAGCAGTATGGGTACCTACTGTCTAAGCTGGACTTTGTGATGGATGCTTACATTGACAACGAATCAGTAATCATGAGTTACAAAATCAACGGAATACTGATATCAATTGGTCGTGCTTCAAGCGGTATGGTTACCTACTGTCTAAGCTGGAATTTGTGATGGATGCTTACATTGACAACAAATCAATAATCATAAGTTACAAAATCAACGGAATACTGATATCAATTGGTCGTGCTTCATAGTTTTGCCAGTGACTTATATGTCCAAGATAATATATTGCCAAACACAAGCAGTGTGGTTACCTGCTGTCTAAGCTGGACTTTGCGATGGATGTTTAGTCGTGCCTCATAGTTTTGCCAGTGACTTGTCTAGCGCAACTTGAATGCCTTAGCAAATAAAAGCAGAACAGTCATTCACATAGTAAAGTTACAAACAAATCTACAGAGTATCCATCAAATATGTCACATTCAAGCTCTGGTATTGACCGAGGCTCGGATCATAAACGCTACGATTGCAGAGGTTGTGGTGGGCGTATAGTGCATGAGTCAAACTATCTACTGGACGGAAGCAAGAATAATGACCGCACTGCATGAAATGGATGGCAAGCGTTGCAAATGAGGTATCAGTCGGATTCAAGAGACTGACTGCAGACAGGAGTGACGGAACACTGGGAGAGTGTGGCAAAAATTATGAAGTGCGCTACAGACGCGGGTAAGCGAACGAGAAAGGGATTCAAACATGAAAGATACGTGCCAATCATCACTCTAAGTAGAAGTAGCTACCCAGATTGCGGGTATCAAAAGTGGTATTGTCACTGTTCTGGTCTGTAAACAAAACAGGTCATAAGATACGACAATTTCAGGAGAGTACGAGCGACGTTTACTAGGTCGAAGGTGACGTCGATCCCCTTGTCATCGTAGTCCAAACCAGTAAGCGAATCCTCTCCTTCTGTATGACAAGGGACCTGGCACAGCACTCGTTGAGCAGGACAGTGAAGTGTTTGGTATTGAGCTGGAGCGTAGCAAAGACTGTCGAGTGAGCTCAATGAAGGTTTGCGTAGGAGAGACGCACATTTCAACACCATCGAGGGCATGATCATAGCGGAGAACAGTAGAAATAGTCCTGTACTTCGCGCCCGAGTCTAGGAGTCTGTCTCTCCCTAATAGAACGCGTTGGAAAACCGGTCCAGCCCTGTGCATGGACTTCGGTCATGCCCAAGCGAAATAGAGGTGGTGGTGGACCTACCCGCTTGAAAAACCGAGCTGCAGGCGAAGAGTTTAGCAGCACTGATAGCAGCACCTTAGTCGTGGGTTAGATAGGCAAACTAACAGAACCAAAGAACTTCCTTACCCTTTGTCCACTTGAACCGAGCAAGATGCCAGCAAGGA